AAAGAATTAAAATAAATCAATAAAGATATTAATTTTTGTTGTGAAATTAATCATCTAATTCATAGTTCTTCATTCCTCTTGGATTTTCAATCCCATCCCAATCTTAAATAGGGTAGGACCACTTCCATGATGGAGTGAAATAGGAAACAAACACTCAACCATGTTCCCTTTCGAGACACGAGATAAGACTATCATAGACTATCCTTTTTATAGGTTTTTTTTTTTTTATTGGATGCAATCATATTTAAAACACGATCAGGCATTGAATATGGGTATCTTCTTAGCTAATGAAAATTCTAACCTTACTTACTTCGTTATATTATGAGATATTAACGCCTTTCACAGTATAAATACCATTAACTATCCTCTCCTTTTAACTCCTATGTCATCCCTAACATCATTCCTCATTACCTAGTACTATTCCTGATGCTCTGGACTTTGTGATGTTGTTATTAATTGCTTGTTTCTAGGACTTGAACATCAAAACTATTCTTCAACTATTTTTTTTTCAAATAATAATTTCATTAAGTTTTATTTTTTTCATTATTTTAAAAATAATTTAATAAGTAAAAGTTTAAAACTTGTGTTTGGTAAAGAAACTCGATTTCTTTGAAGCTTATTTGGTTCTAATCAAAAGGTGGGGGCAATGAGGAATCTATTAGAAGGGATAAGATAGGGAATTTTTTTTTTTATGCTGCTTTCCTTAATTCAAAAAGAGGGGAGAGTAAAAATAATACTCCTTCCCTTCAATATTGTAAAACACTTATGATTAAATTATGCCTTCAATGAGTTAATTATTTATCTCTAAAATCACGCACTCTTTAAAGATTCACACTGTATAACAAGATGTATTGATAAAAAAAACTTTATTAGTTATACCCTTTAATTATTATTAATTATTATTTTGCCAGAACCCTTGAATTAAAGTTACTTTTGGGAAATCTTATTAATTGTATCTTAAGAGACCCAATATGTTTTTATATTTTTTAACATAATACTTAAAAAAATGTCTATAATATTGAAGGAAGGGCGTAAGACATGAACTATTTTGCTCTAGATAATCTCAAGTTTTTACTCTGCTTTTTTCTTTAACAAATAAATAAATTTAGCATTTTTCGCTAAACTTATTAAACAATTTTTTTACATTATTCGTTATAACTTTATATATATATATATATATATTATATATATATTTAACTGAATATATATATATATATTTAAAAGAATATTATATTACCATTACATATAATCTCACTATAAGGCTGTGTGTGATTTCCTTGTATTTAATAATAAGGGCATTTAGTTCATCAAGGGCATTTATATGAAATTTATGAATTTTTAAAATTTATTTACCTCAAGGGCATTCTCAATGGGAAAATTGATGAACGAGTTTAACACTATTTTGACTGTTATGACTTGTGAGGAGCCGATGCTGCCTTGACCTTCGGGGATCATCATCATCATCATGCTGCCTCGTAGGCCCAAAAGTTCTGCCCCAGTTCACGTGTGCTTTATCCCAAACCTTCTTCAGTTCTTTGCATTAAAAAGTGAAATGATGTACCCAGAGAAAAAAGTGAAAATGAGACCAAGATTGGCCCATTTGATAAAAGGATTGGCCCATAACTTAAAAAAATTATGGATTCAAATTTCATTGCCAACCTTCTTGATGAAATATTTGTAAGTATATTTGCAAGCATTATTTAAACTTGAAAGTACATCCTAATTTCAGTGAACTCTTAAGATTCAATTCATCTAATCTTTTGATTAAAAAAAAAAGTAAAAATGAGATTCTCAAATCAGATATATTTTAGGTTGGCCGAAAAAGAAACACGGATAATCTATATTTGATTTTTTTTTCCTGTAAGTATTCTTTTCGGTCAGAAATTTTTATGAAAACACTTTGCATGAATTGTCTTTCTAACTCAAAACAATGCAAAAGTTGAATATTTCAAAAATATTTTTGTCATCCAAATTTTTTTAATTAGTGAAGAAAATGATTTATTATTAACTTCATGAATATTTTTACAAATTAAATGTTTTGAAATATTATTTTTCATTGATAAGCTTGGAAAAATATTTTAATATATTGTTATGAAGGCGTGAAAAAAAATTATTAAATAAAAATTCGAGACAGGTACTAAAATAAATATTGCATCAAGTATATTATGATTATTTAATTATTTTTATTTGATTCTTACATTATATTTTTTTTTAACCAAAGATAAAAGGAAATGAATAAATTTATACTAGTACTATAACATAGCACTTCTTGTCAAATATTCTTGCTTATACCGGTACAATGAAATTTATGCCGTTACGACTGTGAAAAAACTTGCTATGTTTTACATTGCTCAACTTGTGAGCTTCGAGTCTCACTTGTTTCTCATTCCTTTGAAATTGTAAGTGTTGTGTTATCCTTTTTGTTTATCTAAAAGCATTCTAAACACAACCTTGAGTATGGTCAAACACTTTTTAATTCTTACATTATCTTTTATACCTGTATAGCATTTGACTCTACTAGTATTAACCTACCTACCTTTTGTCAAAGAAATAAATGCATATAGTTATTACTTTCTTTACTTGCTATGAGCATGCAATTTTGTCGAAAAGCACTATGTCATTGCCTTATTTTTGTAGAAACTTAAAAGGAAAGAAAATGAAGAGTCTAACAACTAATTAAATGTGTCTAATAGATCATTAATCATCCCCAACTATAAATAAGCACATTCATAAAGACAAATGCAAAAGAGTTATTGCACGATATTGAGCATTCAATTTCTTACCTACCTTTTATGATCATAGTCATTATTTTGTCAACTTTATTGATTGTACATTCACTTTTAGAGAGAATTTGTAATAGGTGTTGTTCATTATTAAACATACTCTGTTCATCTCTAATTTTCATACTTAAAACAAAACACTTAAGCTCAAGAAGCTTAGAGAATTTATTCATTACCTTTGTAGGGGAGTGAATCAGACATAAAGTCTGAAATTGTATTGAAGCAACCAAGAGCCTAATTGAATTTTGGTAGAGTAAGTTGAAGAAATCTCAAGTGTGACTTAGAGTCTGAACATATACTCAAGTGGTTGGAGCTGAATCAGGATAAATATTTAAACAAGCTTTTCTTTCATTCTCTAAACATATTTGGTGATATCATCCCTTAACTCTTCTCTTATATTATTAAAAAATTATTGAGTTCAATTCATCCCTCTTTAACACATGTACAATCATGATGGAATTGATCGATTTTATACATTTATGGTGTAATTTTTTTAATTTAACCAAATATCATAATGGAACTTCTCATTTCAATAATTTTTTAAAAAAAATCATGAAAAAAAATAAAAGGGTTGGTGGGTTAAACCTAATCTAACTCATATTTTTCCCAACCCATATGGTTTGAGGTGACCTATATTCCTAGCCCTACAATAAAAGTAGGGAGAATTGTACAAAACCAACATATTTTCATTAAAGATCCAATAGAATTTAAAATAATTCTGTAGGTTCAAAGGCCTCTCTTGCAATTAAGTTTTGAGAAAATTACATATTAGTGTCATGGAGCAAACTTATTTATAAATAAATGTTGCAAAATTCAAAACTATAATTAGATCCCTTGAGACTTCAATGTAATTTGAAATTATGGTGCAAAGATAATAATGCACCAATTAAAATAACATTATATCAATTAAATAATTTACAACTACCTCATCAGTAATTTAAAACTATCATTTTAAATTTTTACAATTGTAACTTCACATGTCTAATAGTTAAATTAATCATGCACTACAAGTTTAATACTAATTGTATACAATTATCTCATCAATAATTTACAACTATAACTTTATGGATATAATAGTTAAATCAATCATGTGTTACTAATAAAGTTTAATACTAATTATTTACAATCATCTTATTAGTAATTTATAACTATCATTTCAATATTTTATAACTATAACTTTAGCATTTTTAATAGGGACAATATTGTTTTCATACCCCAATTTCAAATTGCACTCTTGCCTCAAGAGATTGGTTATGATTTTTAAATTTTGTGAAACTTTTTGTAATTACATATACTCCACAGGATCTATACATAATATTTTTCTTAATTTTTTTTTAGTGAAAAGATGAAATTGTCCCTTTGTGAAATAAATGGACCATTTGTTGAAAATAAATAAACTTTGATTGTTATTTACAAACTTTCTATTGTAAATTTTATCTGATAACTTGTAAATTCTCTCTTATTTAACAAATGTAAATCACAAGGATTACACAAAATAAAAGAATATTCTCTAGTAATAAATTGACTTTAAATGTTATTTATAGAGTTTCTTTTGCAAATTTCATTTGGGTAACTTATATTTTTTTTGTGAATTATGTAAAATGAGCGGGTGTTTTGTTGTTAATATATATACAACTTAATATTATTTATGAAATTTTTGTTGTAATTTGTAAGTATTATTTAGATAATTTGTAAATTTCTCTTTAAATGTAAACTTCTATGAATTATGTAAAATAAACAAACGTCTTGCTGCTAGTAAATAACTTTAAATATAAAAAAATTAATTACAAGAAAAACTTTTTGAGCCTACGAAATTATGAGCTGCGGTGCAATTTTCCTATAAAACTATATTACCCATGAACACCCTAATCTACTTTTATTATGTAGGAATCCTGCTCTAGGACACTAGGAAGCGAAACTTTATATCACAAGTAATAACCAACTTTGACACATAAGGCCATGCCATACGCGGCAAAATAATTGATTTGGAAAAGATAACTTTCTGTTGGCCAGGAAGGAAAATATAACTTTCTTCTCCCTAAATTTAGTTTTAATTATCAATTTAATTCTTAAATTTTAATTCATAATAACTCATTCCTTCTGGTTTCTTGAGTCAGGACTCTGTAGTCTTGACTCCCATAATTTTTAATTCAATAATTTATAAAAACTAAATTGTGCTGAGTCAAAATTTTAGAAGTAAATTAATAATTGAGATAAAATTTAAAGAATAAAAGTTATATCATCCTTCATTAAAATATCTAGTAGCAAGTCTTCATCGAATCAGAGGCCATTTGCTCAGTTGAACTTGACACTGCTCAAATATGATCCAGCAGTATCGAATTTCAAATGATTATACGGAAATAAATAATATTTGCTATCCTGCAAGAGAATTGCAGAAACTAGGAAAAATATTAAATACACAGACAGTAATTCTTAAGAACAAAATAACAGAGACAACATAAATAAGCATTCTTCTTCTTCTTCTTCCCCACCAGTGTCTATCCCTGTCGAATGTCAAGAACATGAAAGGAAAATAAATTAATACCAAAGCTGGGCATTCTTAACCTTGGACACACTCTGTAACACTTCCAAGGGAAGAATGTCTCCAACAACAACCACCATTTTGTTATCCAGATCTACTTTGTATGAGCTCACTCCTGTGTTTCAGACATACATGTTCATCAACATGAAAGCATCTCTATTAAAAAATATCGCAGTATTAAAAACTAGGTTAACCCAATCAATTGAACAAATAAACGTTTGAATTAACATCCTGACCAATTTAATGAAATGATTTATTTATAACTGGTTTAATCACAATTCAATTATAATCTTAACTATTGAATTAATGACTTAGTCCAATAACAAATCTCTTTCAATATTTCTGCCAAAAAACGAAGAAGAACGAGACCAAAAACTAGTACCATGTCATGTTCTGATAATAAACAATAATTGTGTTGACTTTTTCGTACATGACACTGCTTTTTTGTCAGGTCACAAGAAGGGCATTAATAATTTGTCCTGATATTTAGGCTCACTACTAGTTGCTTCTGTTTTTAACAATTAACCCAGAGAATTTATTTTGGAATTAATTTGTTCTAAGTTTCATCAAAAGTTCACTGTGTAACTGAGGGGGTGAAAAAAATTGTTGGGTAGACTTGGGTTAGTAAAAGTAGGAATAAGCCTCACTTTTATCTCTCTTCGTTATCACTTTATTTGATATGTCAATTCAAATGTACCTTAATTATAAAACATTTCTAATTATATTTATATATTAATAAAAATAATCATTTTTATATTTTTATCAAAAAAAATTTTTTGCTCTTAATCCCTTTATTATGAAAAGTGAGAAGAAATATTTAGTCAGTTTATATCTATCATGTTACATTAATTAATATAAAAGTAAATTTAAAAAGATATTAATTTCAAAAAATACTAACTTAATTTTCTTTTTCCCATAGAAGTTTTAAGACAAGATCAAATCTTAAGATAGCATTCCTTTGGGTCTGAACTCTGAAGAAAGCATGACATATGTCAAGACACAAGTTTATCCAAAGTTTATTAAATTATTGAGTAAAATTTCATTGATAATTAATTATTGAGACGTGAATTCAAATGATATATATTATAATGTAATATATCAAAATTGTGTGACGCACTTAATCATATTTCACGTAATAATAAAAGTAATTATTTTTTACATCCATATAAAAAATGACAAGTCTTTCATTTTTTTGGTCTTAATCCTTTTTATCATGAAAATTTAGAAAAAAGTATTTAATAAAATTATATTTTTCAAACTCACATTAATTAATATATGGATAAATTCAAAGAAATAATTTTAAAAAGTACTTAAACATCCTACATTTTAGATGAAATTAACTGAAAAAAGGGGGGAAATTTAGACAAGAGGCAGTAATGTATAATTGACCTTTAAAAAAAAAAGACATAAAAAGTTCAAGAAGACAGTTTAAGCAATTTGGTAGTAGTAAAGCGTGCGTTTAGGGTCTGAAGAAAGCAAGAAATATGTCAAACTAGAACACAAGTTTATCTAAAGTTTAAAATTTTAAATTATTTGAGTAAAATTGCACTGATAATTTCTAACTCACCTTCTAACTTGGACACATGTTTCTCCACTTTTTTGGCACAGCCATCGCAATGCATGGAAACCTTCAATATCACTATCTGAGTAATAACATCAAACAGAAACAGATCAAGCTTTAGTGTTATGCCAAACACGGTACAACATTATATAGTCTTTCCATTGCAGAAAGAGAGAGAAAGAGAGGAGGGATTTGTGAGGAAATAAATATGCAGAAACTTCATTGCAGAAAATTGAAGACAAGAAGAAGAAGAAGAAGAAGAAGAAGAATACCTTCGGCTTCAATTGAAAAGCCAATGTTTGCTTCCCAGAAACTACGTCCCTCAATCTGAGTTTTTGTTCTCCTTCACTAATCTCACTGGCGAACAAGGGCTTCGTCTCAATCTCATCATCCTTAATCTCCATGGAATTCACACAGAAGCAGGAGCTTGAGCTAGACGATGATGATGAGAGACAGAACGTATCCAGAATCCGACCAAGTTTCCCCATTTCACCACCTTTTCAATATTCTCAGTCAGAGGTTGTTCTTCTGAGCTGAGGAAAGTTCTCTGTTCTTGTTCTTCTTCTAGTTCTCTCAAGGATTATTACAGGTCAACGAGCTGCTCCTTATCAACTCTTATGGTGCAAAATCCAAAACAGGCTAGTTAGGCGTAGGCTCTGTGGAGCAGGACAAAGAAGCTGCTTGAGGTCAAGTTTATTGGGGAAGCCAAAAGTTAGGCGCCTAAACTCATAAATTTTATAGGGCTAGTTTAATCAGAATTAGAGTTTCTCATGTGAGTATATGACCAACTACTCAATATTTGATTAAAAAGCAAAACAGAGCCACTAATAGCGTCAAAGGCAGTTTTGAGTTGAACCCAAAGTTGATACTCCGTCGTTAAAAAAATATAAAATATGTTTAATTAAATTTTATTTTTAATAAAATAATTATTTACTTTTAAATTAATTTTATCTTTTTATATTTATTTATATTAAATACCCTACAATAAATATAAAATTATTTATCAGGTATTTTTAAAAAAATATAACAATTATATCTTGAAAGACTAAAAATATTTTATATTTTTTAATATTAAACTCCTCAAAAAATATCTTACATTTTTAAATGGAGGAAGTATTTCCTAACTCATAACATAGTAAATTAAGGTTTAAATTTTTGTTAAAAAATATGTATATCTTAATTATATTTTAAATAAGATTGTCTTTAATAAAAAATTTATAAAAATAAAAAATTCAATTTTTTAAACATATCTATCTAACATATTTTGTATTGAAGTTTAATTGTAAATAATTTTTTTAAACATATTTTTTTTTGACATTTCACACCAATTCAAGCAGTGGCAACATGGAATGAAAATTGACTCTCACATGACATCAGCCTTTGTAGGCCCGGCCTATAAGCTTGGCTTTTTTGAATTTTTTATTTATTTTTAAAATCTGATTTTTATTTAAAACATTTGGAGTTAGGCTCATAAATCTCTTTTTTTTATTTTTTAAATTCTTAATTATAATATTTCATATTTTTAAATATAAATTATAATTTTTAAAAATTAAAAATAAAAAAAATTTAATTTTAAAGTATCAATATATATTTTAAAATTTAAATTTAATTTATAAATTAAAAATATGTTATTTTTGAAAAATAAGAATAAAAATGAGTTAAAAGGCTATTCGAGCACCTTTTGTGAGAGCCTACCAAGTCAGGTTTTAAAGTCTAATTTTTTTATAAAATGTCATTTTTTTAAAACAAAATCCTTATAAAAATAAATTTAAATTGATAGCCTACCAGCCCTTTTTTCGAGTCTAATTTTAGAGGCATGAAGTAAACTGATAGAATACGGTGGAAAGAAGAAACAGTGTCAACAGGTACAATGTGAACGACAATCTCTGCTGTTTGTAAATAATGATGACACCATGTCCCGGAAAATTAATTCAAGTAATTTTGTTAAAAGATGAGTTAGATGCAAATATTTGCAAATATAGGGGTTTTGTTGCAAATCGAACATTTAAATCTGAGATTCCCATACCTGCAATTGCCTAAATTTATATTGGAAAAATGAGATTTAAGAATCTTATAGGAATATAGGTTCTTGGTTCAAATTAAAAAAAATTATTGATTTTTTCAGTACCCATCCGCTAGTATTTTAAGTATTACTTTTTTTATTTTTTAATAATTACCTTAAATATTTTCAATACCCCTCTCTTTTATAGGTTTAATATTCAAGAGAATTAAACATGAAGTTTTTTAGTACTGAAAATGTGGAAGATGGTAATTAAAAATCTAAAATGACTATTGATGAAAAATTGAAAAACTGATAATTAAAAATACTAAAAATAATACTATAAATATAAAAGATGAGCATTGGAAAAATTAATTGAGGAAAATTTTAATTCTAGTTAAGGACTATATTTTTTTTTTGAAATTTCAAAATTTTTAACTATAAATAATGTACTCATATGAAGAGTCCTTATGTGGGATTCTCCCATTTTTATTTGCGGCTTATCTTTCAATAAGATGTTTTGAGATTTAATGCTCATAACCATTTGCGAATAATACATCTATTATATTTTTTATGTTTGATATTTATATTGATAACTAGATAGTTTCTCATAAGTTCCACGAGTTATAATTAAAAAATTTAAAATAAATATCATCAATATCATTAAAATCAAAACATTTGATATGGTTAAATTTTCAGGAGCTCCTCTATTCAATCATTGTCCTTTTTGTATATTTTTTTGTACACATTTTATCTTTATTTTTTAAGCCTATAGTAAAAAACTTGTCTAAAAAATACTTGTTCTTAAAGTGCTTAAAGAATATTAACCTAAAAAAACTACTTCTTTAAAGTTCTCAATAACCTCTCTTTTTCAATTACGTAAGAAAATTAGATATTAGTTTATGAATTATGACATAAATTATATTTTCATAAATATAGATATAAGAAAGAATTTAAAGGGATCCATCTTTTTTTTTAATTGTATTATATTCTTTTGTATTTTTGGGTTTCCTTTTCTTTTTTTTATGTGCAAAACAAAAGAGTTACAAAACATATACGTCTATCACTCAAGTTTTATTTTTTTAGAGTACTTAAGTAGTCGTCGTGTTATCTTGTTAGCACATAATGTATGATAAAATATCCACAGTTTAAAGGACTAAGACCCTGAGATAAGGATTGATAATCCAAATCAAACTTAAACTTTTTTATTTGCTTTTTTCTTTTTTACAGATAATGTTTTTGAATAATAGTTGATGAGAGTTGATTGATATTGAACACAACAAATTAGAAAAATACATAGAAAATAGAAAAAGAAATTAAATCTCATTTATCAAGAAAAATGAGAAGGTATGAAAAAGTACAACGAATGTAGAAAGATAGTCAAATGAAATTAATGCTAACGATCAGGAAAATTTAAAATGAGACTGTTCTTAAATCAATATCCTATGAAAGTAGATTGAAAATACATGAAAAATAAAAAATAAATTAAATCTCATTAATGAATCAAGAGAAACTTTCATATTAACAATAGCTTAAAATATATTAACCAATGAGAGTCATTTTTTTGAAGTTGGGACTGCTTTTGAATCAATACTCCCACAAATCTAAATTGAAAGTACATAAAAATAGGAAAATAAATTATATCTTATTAAATGCTCTCGTAAAAGTAGACTAAAAATACTTAAAAATAAGAAAATAAATTAAATATCAATAATAAATCAAGAGAAATTTACAAATTAATATTAGTCTACAATTTATTAACCAACGAGAGTCAATTTTTGTTTTTACCAATTAAATTGAAGTTACAAGATTGATCTATTTATGATGATATTGATATTGATATATTGATACTGATGATAAGATAAGATGCCTTAAAAAAGAAAACTAAAAAGACATGGGAAAATGCAATACACATGGGCCATGAAAAGGAAAAAATGAAATCAATCAATGCTTTCGTCTAAATTGTGAATTATAGTTCAAAATTTAAAATGAAAAATAGGTGGAGTCACATGAAAAATTGATTGAACTAATGAGAGAAAATAATTAAATTTTAATCAAGATAAAATGACCAATGTCAAGGTTCAAAATTTGACTAATGGGATGCTTTCTACAAGATTTATTAAACCAAAACACATGAAAAAATACAACAGACATGAGCCATGAATTGGAAAAAATGGAGTTAGTTAATGTTCCCATTCAAGTTGTAAATTATAATTTAAAATTTAAAATTTAAAATTTAAAATAGGTGGAGTTACATGAAAAATTAATTGAACTAATGAGAGAAGATAATTAAATTTTAATTAAAATAAAGTGATTGATGACAAGGCTCAAAGTCTGATCAATGAGATATTTTTACAAAATTTGTTAATATAAATTGATGATATAATATGACGAAGCTTAATCCAAAAAGTACAGTGAAGAAAATGCGCGCGCACAAAAGATTCGTGTGGCTAAGCTTAACAGTACCGCCAAAATTCATTAAAATATACAGAGAAAATAAACAAATAGAAAGGACAAAATGTTGGGATTAATTAATATTAGATAATTCAGGAAAGGGACAATGACATTTAAATCCCGTAACCTTAAATTAATGATATTTAGATGCTGACAAATCTTTTTTTAAAAAAATAAGTTAAAAATATCAATGTAAATAATTATAAATTTAAAATTTTTAATTATAAATAAATATTTAAACATCAAATGTAACTATTAAATTGGAACAAAAAATTTTATTTATAACTACTTAAATTAATATTTATAATTTATTTTTTTAAAAAAATTTGTCAGGAATTTTATCTCTCATTACTTTAACTTTTTAAAGTATAATTGTCATTTTCGCTTCCGTCAGAAAATGAATAGGTAAAGTATTGTCATAAAGTGAAGGAGCGTCTTAAATACTGACATATTTATTGTTAAATTGACTAAAATATGAGTACCATGCAATATGCATTTGAGGAGCTTGTATGATTTGAGAACATTGATTGATTGAAAAAGAAAAGTAAGTATAAGAGCCAACAAGAGCGGAAGCTGTCTGATGTTATTTTTGTCTGAGGATTGGTTATAAGTTCATAATAGTGCAACATGGGACGTGAGGCCCTCCATTATTGAAGGCCATGCTTGCATGGGGTAGGCCTTTTCCAATTATTGGGCGATATTTTTGTAATAAAAAGATCAATATTATTTAACACAAAAAAAGAAAAAACATTACAGCGTTGAAGTGTCAGAAAAAATCAAGGGAAGAGAAGGGCAAAAAAGATTATTATCTTGATATACATTAAAAATAATATAATAGAACTTAAAGAGCTAGCTATCATGTAAATGTCCTACATCAAAGGTTGATGAAAATGATGCGTTAAAGATAGATCATGAAATAGCCTTCTTCAAAAGCATTGAATCAGTACGTTGTCCAGTCTTGACTGAGATTTTTATATAAGTTCTTTGATCCAAAGTAGCACAGTTCGAATGCACAAAAGATTAAGACAGTCTAGATCAATATTGATTGAATGTCTCCATTTATAACTGTGCAGATCATTATTCACAAAGGCCATGATGAAGCAGATATGCAAACAATGTGTTTTGAATTTCTTTATTCTAATTCCACATTCGACATGAACATCTTGAGTCAAAGCTCTGTTCAAAATTAATGTCGAAGATGATGGTGAAACCGAAGGTGAGTTTTGTGTATTA